TTTGTTACATCATTTTTTAAAAGCACGCGATATGTTTTGTTGGGAACTGGCAAATATAGATTTTCAATAATTTTGAAGTTTAATTTTGCAATATACGAACCGTGTATTTTATACGCAAATTCGGGTAGAATTGCGTTGGTACACACTTGACAACGACCATGTTAACTTGTTTGAAGAACGTAGTGAATAAAAACAATTTTATTTATTAACAGTTATAAATATCAGTTATTAGAGTAATGATGTTCATGTAGATTTATGTTTATAGTTTTCTAATTTCGTAATTACCTTGAAATCTGCAAAACTTAGCTACGGCTCTAATTTCTTTATGTGTAAAATTCTAACATTATGATATCAAATGAAAAATAAATCATTGTTTTTGATAGCATAAGCTTCATATATAAAATGTGGTGCTTTTATAGTAGGTATTACAACTGTACAACATCACTAATGTATGTACTAACAAAATTTAGCAAATTTTAAAATTTGGTAATTTAAAATTTTGATGTGTTGAATAATAATCTACAAAACGGATATAGGATCTTCAATGGAAGCTCATTTAGTATAGTTTTTATCGGTGTTCGTTGAAATTTTCTTAAGAAATTTTATCGCAATTCGTCTATTATTATATCTGCTATAAAAAATATTTTAAATTAAGAACATTTCTACAGCATCGTGAATATCTGTGACCGCCAAGCTAATCATCTACTTCAACTCACTTTGATATTTCCAAAATTCTCTAAAAACTCATGTTGTGAATGTTTTCATTAAATTTTTAATCTTCAACATGATTAGTTCAAACAACTTATCTTCATAAGCTTGACTTACAATCAAACTTTATTGGCGGTTAAGCTCTGTATGCTACACGTATAGAGTAAGAAAATAAATACATACATTTAAATTGTCGAAATATGTTATTTCAATAACTTGGTCGAGAATATGCAACATTACAATGTTTATATTCTTCAATATTTTTGTTGAATAAAAAAATGGTATTAAAGTTTTGAATGGGACACATTCATAGGTCGATGTGTAACGTTCATTTTCAATGTACAAATTAATTTTACGTGATCGAAGACATAGTTTTAAGACCAAAAATATTGAAAAAAAAAATTAGTCGTAGGTATTAACGATAAAATGTTCAGTGCTTACAATGTTTAATTGTTAATATTAACAATAATTAAGTTTTTTATTTATTATGTCACTAATGTTGTGGTAATTTTTTTTTAAAACAGGTATATAAATATCCTATCGGGCTACATCACAGAACTTTTTCGAAATAGCTATTCTATCATCGTGGTATCTGGATTTACATGTTTGAAGCCACTAAATATATGGGTAAAAACACTTTAAATGTAGTTAAATTAACTTTAAATTACATATTTTATAAAAACTAGAATGTTTCGTATACTTGTTATTAGCAACTTTTTTTATAATAATATACAAAGACAAAGCCCTACAAAGAGTAAGATTGGGTGAGAAGGACATTCGGATCATGACGAATTTATACTGGAACCAGCGTGCTCAAGTCAAGGTCGAAGACCAGCTGACAGACCAAGTGAAAATCATGCGAGGAGTAAGGCAGGGCTGTGTGCTCTCGCTGACTCTCTTCAATAAATACTCTGAGGAAATTTTTACTTAAACCCTCACAAACCTAGAGATGGGAATCCGAGTGAACGGTGAATACATCAATAATATCCGCTACGCTGATGCACTGTGTTACTAGTATCCAGCCTAAATGATCTACAAGCCTTACTAGACCGAGTGGAAACTATGAGAGTAACTTGGTTGCCAGCCGTGCAAATTTAGATCCCGGGGCACTAATGGCAGGTAGCAAAGAGATCCAGAGAGTCGACAGATTTACTTACCTTGGAACTACCCTCAACTCACAATGGGACTACGTTCAAGAGATTAGATCCAGAATTAAAATGGCACGGTCTTTATTAGGTTTATTATGGTCATGTAATGACACACAGAATAACCTATTAACTTATAACCTATGTTCTATATTCTAACCTAGTTAAGCTGCTGTTGACAGCTGATGTCTAACCTCCCTGCCTTCATACCTAGTGCTGCCAACCAACCTAAGCTATATCGTACATCTCTCTTTTTACTCCCTAAATCTAGAAGGCTTGATTATTTTCCTACCTGATCTAGTTTGAGGTTGAATCTTATTTTCACTACTACCACTTGAATTGTTAATATCATTATGGGAATTGTTATCAAGTTTGTCTGGTGATGTGTTAGATATATTTTTATAAGATTCTCTAGCAGGCAATTCTAAACTAGGATAAAATTCAGGATGAGTATTAAAAGAATGTGGAGAAGATTTTATAAATGATGAGTTTCTTCTATATTCATTATTTTCGAAATTCTTTACAATATAGGACCTGGTATTCTCATGTTTATCCATAATTTCTGCAGGCATCCAGACCCTGTCTTTCTTAAGCATTACACTTTGTCTCTTATAAAACCCATCTCTTTTCTTCGCCTGTCTATCATAATAATGTTTCTTTCTACCCTTTTTTTTTTCTTATTTTATATCTTTCCACTGTAGGCTTGTCTTCCAAAATTTTATTGCATACTGGTAATGTTGTTCTTAATAGTCTATTATTTAACAATTATGAAGGAGAAATATTTAGTCCTGATAACGGTGATGTCCTATATTCTAGGAGTGCTAGCTGCACATCATTACAAGAGTCATTACATTTTTTTAATATGCCTTTACAGATTCCTACAGCACGTTCGGCAAGTCTATTTGACCTTGAATATAATGGACTAGATGTGATTAGGTTTATATTCCAACTTTCACAAATTTTTTTAAACTCTCAACTGCCAAATGGCATATTGTCTGCAACAAGAACACTAGGAATGCCATGAGTTGAGAACAGATTTCTGAGTTTATCATACACTTCTTTGTTGTTTTACATTCCAATGGAATTAATTTAAGATGATTGCTGTAGTAGCCGACAACAGTTAAATAATCGTGGCCTTCATAGTTAAATATATCTGCAGCTACTTTTGCAAACGGTATGTCTGATCTTTCGTGTTGCAATAATGGTTTTTTTTATGTTGCGATTATATTTTAGGCAAGTTTTGCATTTAGAAACAAATTGTTCTATATCAGAAGCTAGCTGCGACCAATAAAATATTTTTCTAGCTCTAGATTTGGTCTTTTCTATACCAAAATGTCCTACATGTAATTTTGTTAATATTAGAGATCTTAACTTAAATGGAACAACAAGTTTAAAATTATTATATAAAAGATTACCAGATACATGCAAGTTATTTCTAATTTTATAGTACACTTTAACTTCTGGGCTTACTTTGACCTTTTATGGCCATCCATTTTCACAATAAACTATTACTTGCTTTAAAATCCCGTCTTCACCTGTTGCATCTTTTAGTTCACTCATCCTCGCTTGGGAAATAGGTAATTCAATTTCTACCGAGTGAACAATATCTTACATGTCTGGATCGTCTTTTACTTTATTTTTAATAAAAGATCTGGAGAGTAAATCTGCAATATACTGTTATGATTGTTTATTTTGACTTTGATCTTAGTTTATTGAGCCAAAAAAATATATTTTGATAGTATACAAGGCAACTATCGAACACAGTGATTAATTAAATCTTGCCCAAGTACTTTCGATCAATAGATCATCTTCAGGGGCATTTCGTCAGTTGTGGGCTATCCGACATGAGTAGAATGTCATAAAAGTAAAATTGGACATAACAGTAGAACACACAAAGACAAACAAACACTTTAAAATTTTTAAGGAGAAGCTACATGTTATACAGAAACCGGAGACAGAATCACTTTCAATCAGTCAGATAATTTATCATTCCTAAAATTTTTCATTTCTATTTTTATTTCATTTTTATTTTTAAGTTCCTCAAGCTGTACTATGGCCTGAACATACTCTGGGTCTGGTTTAACTCCACTTTCAGAAAATATTTGACCAACATAACTAACCTCTTTTACTTTGAATTGTACTTTTGTATCATTAAATCTTATTCCATTCTGTCTAGCTCTTTCTATCACTTCAGCAAGAATATTATCCTGTTCTGCCTTATCTTCACCTGTAATTATAAAATCATCAAAATAGATACCTACAGGCAAATCCCCAAATATTTTTTGATTCACTCTTTGGGAAACTTCTGGGCTGACATTTAACACAAATGGAAGTCTTTTAAAGGCAAATTTCCCAAATGGTGTTATAAATGTACAATATCTTGTACTCTCTCTATCTTTCTAAGACTTTCTTTCCCCTTAACTTTGACCCTAACTCTTCTACGGTAGGTATAGGCAATTGATCAGAACAAACATACTTATTTAAGTGTAAAGGATCTAAACACAACCTCAACTTACCATCATTTTCTTCTATAACTACTAAATTATTAACCCATTCTGTTGGTTTATCCATTTTAACTATTATATCCCTATTTTCAAGGTCATCAAGGGCTAATTTTAGTTTTGGTTTTATTGTCTCTGGGACCCTCCTACAAGGACTTACTACGGCGTATTAGCATTATTTTTTAAAATAATCTTATATTTGAAGGGTGCTTTACCAGTGCCTTCAAAAATATCTTTGTTATGAGTTATTAACTTAATGCATTCACTTTATTTATTTCATCTACCTTTTTTATCAAACCTAACGTGACACATGCAATAAGGCCAAAAATTGGCATACTGTCGACAACGACCAAGACAAACCTGATATTATAAATGTTACCTTTTAATAAGCATTTCAGTATTACTTGACCTATGATATTTAACTTATTGTTACTATATGTTATTAAGGGAGATTCATTTTTTTGTTTTTTTACAATATTATTCAAATTTAAACCTTCAAATTTTTTAGAGGCAAGCAGTTACAGTTAGCACCAGTGTTTAATTTAAAATTAATAGTTTTATCGTTAATAACAACTCTAGTTGTCTACAAGTTCACTTGATTATTTTTACAATTTATATTGTCTAATAATAAGATACTATCTATATGTTATCTATCACCTACAGCTGTGTCATAACTATCATGTGTAACCTCATAGACTCTTTGATTAGTACTAGCAGACCTAGAGGCTACTCCTGTATTAGTTAAATTAGAAAACTTGCATCCTACCTGGAAATGATTTGGTTTATTACATCTTTTGCATATTTTACCATAAGCTGGGCAGCTTCTTGGACCATGTCGTCTCCCACATTTTAAACAATTGTAATCTTGATTGTTAGAGATATTACTATTATCTGCACCTATGTTCCTTATAGCACCATTTTTAAAACTATTATTTCCTCTGCATCTTAAGCTGTTAACTTTCATTTCTCTGCTAAGATCTTTTAATTGAAACTTGCTTATTTCTGATATTCTACAGTGAGTCTCGGCTTCCCTCAACGTCAAACTTGAAACTCTTAATAATTTCTCTTGCATTGTCTGATCTCGAATGCCACTCAATATTTTATCACGGACTAGTGTATTTTCTAGTACTCCAAAATTACATAGCTTTGCTAACATTTTTATGTCTGTCAGGAACCTATCAAATTCTTTATCTTCACCTTGACTTCTGTTCTGTATAACTTTATCGTAGTTTTTTCCCTCGTCACCATCAAACTTTAACGTTCTGAAAATGTTTTGAGCATCTTCGCCAGCTGGATTTAGGAAAATTGCAATTTTAGTTTCGTCATCTTTATTACACAGGCTATTTGCCGTTAAATACGTAGAGAAACTATTCATAAACTTCTTATAATTTTGACTTGTATGTTGATCGAACACGATGTTTTTTGGTACCTTGGCCAAATGATATGATACCATTTTATAGGTTCCTTAAAACTAAATTCTAATTTAGGGTTCTTATAGACCTGACACCATGTATTAGGTTTATTATGGTCATGTAATGACACACAAAGTAAATTTTATATTTTATTATCTCTATTTACAACGTGTTCATCTTATAACCTATGTTCTATATTCTAACCTAGCTAACCTGTTGACAGCTGATGTCTAACCTCCCTGCCTTCACACCTAGTGCTGCCAACCAACCTAAGCTTTATCATGCACGCTCTACATTTATCAAGTTAAAATCCTTGCTGTGCTGCAGTGATCTCAGTTTGAAAACCAAGATGTGAATAGTGAGATGCTACATTCTTCTAGTGTTACTATATGGAGTTGAAGCCTGGACACTGACGCAAGCCACGAAAAAGCAGATTGAAGCCTTCGAGATGTGGATCTACCAAAGGATACTAATAATATCGTATGTGGACCATATAACAATCGTTGAGATCCTACAGCGCATGAGAAAAGAAAAAGAAGTGCTTAATTTAGTGAAACAACGTAAGCTTGAGTACCTCGTGTATGTGATGTGGAACTAAGAAAAATATCGAATTATTCAGTAAAGTATTTGGCAGGAGAGGACCGGGACGTTGTCGTATCTCGTGGTTGAAAAACTTCCGACAATGCTTTGGGATGACCTCTGCGGAGCTGTTTCGTAGAGCAGTCAACAAAACCATGATAGCCTTGATGATCGCCAACATCTAAACCGGATAAGGCACTGAAGAAGAAAAAGAATAATAATATACCTAATTTTAATGTTATGTTGTGTAAATATATTTGTGTTAAGTTATTATTAAGTTAATAATACACTCTGAGTTTGATTCTTTCTGTTTTAAAGATTTTTTGATTGAGTTAATAAAAATTAACTTAAACTTAATTAATTTAAACATTATCGAAAATACAGCGTAAGTCAATCCAACATGTAAAAATATCCTGCCGATTAAATTAGTACTCTAAAAGAAATAGTTTTACAGAAGAGAACTACTCTGGTTTAAAACCTTTAATAAAATTGAATTGTCTGTTACCATTCATCTCTTCAGACTTTTTTGTTACTCGGCGTAAATTAAGAAATACTTTCAGAAAATGGTCTATTAAGATAATAACTATGGAATTTTCGCATCGTTTATTGTTTGATATCGTTGGAATTTTGATGAACGTTTATTTAAGTCAGTCGTCCAGTATTTGTCAGGCATGATATATTTTAAACCTATTAATTAAATATGTTTTATCTACAGGATTCCAAGTCTTATCGACTTCTTTGACCATCGGCTATTTCAGACGTTATTGTTTTTCAACAATTCCAAAAATCAATGAACTTCGTATCTTAATAAACTCGATTCACTAAATGTTGTCTTGTGGTGATGTAAAATATTTGCAGCCTAAAGCGGCAGTTTCACATAGCAGTTCACTGTTATCGCAGTGACTTTTAGCGGTGGGGATATATCTACTGCGATGGGCTTTACTGTTATCTACTGATTCACTACTCCTATGTTCAAATGAAACAGTCAGTTTTGAAGATGGCACCGAATAAAATAATAGTTATTATAATTGAAGAAAAAATTGTTATTGAAAAAAAGTACCCTTTAGACGGCAAGCATGTAGCTATGCGCGCACTTGCGAATGAGGGATCCTACTACTACAACCACAAAGGATTCCTCATTCTGGTTCTTTTGGCACTGGTGGATGCAAATTACAACTTCATTTATGTTGACTGTGGTGGAAATGGAAGAATTTTTGATGGAGGAGTATATAGAAACAGCTCATTATATGCCGTTGTTAATGGTAATATTTTCCTACAAATTCGTCCACCATTCCTCCTGAAAAATTTTTAATTATAGATTATGTAGAGCACGTAGAGTTGTAGAGAACGCATTTGGTATCCTTTGTAAAAGATTTCGTATATTTACAAGGGCGATAGACGTTAATTTATGCACCGTAGAATCTATAATAGTGTGTTAATGTGTATTACATAATTACTACGTCCAGAGACTCTTGTAAATTTTGAAAATAGAACAACAATGAACGTGTTACCAAATATTGGTCATGAGGGAAGAAATTTTTCAAAAAATTTTGCTAGGCAGATCTAAGACGAGTTTGCAGATTATTTTGTTAATGAAGGAGATATAGACTTTCAATGGATGAATATATAATTTTTATATGTGTCAGTGTATCAAAAACATGTAATTGAAAAATATCAAACAAAAAAGAACATTCCTGTGTTATTTTCGTTTCCAAATTAGAAATAGTTTTTCGAGTAATTATAACACCGTTTAAAAATTACATATGTTCAAACCCTGGCACTGTTGGACAGTAAATATCATCTGTGCTCGTTCCTGTTCGTTGGCTATCATGGATTTTCTGTTTTTCTAATAGATAGGTACGTTGCTCTTATCGAAGCTATCTTCTTTTTTACTTTTTCTTTATCTATACCCATCTTTTCCGCAATTTTTGCAATTGCATCCTTTCTCTTCCCATTATTCTTGTAAAATGGTGATTTTATATTCCATAAGCACTTAAGCACTCATGTTGGCGGTATAATTCGATTAATAAAAACGTTTTTTTGTCTGAAAACGCAATGCGTTTTACAGATTTTGCCATTTTTATTTTATAATTAAGTTACTACGATAGCAAAACTAGAATTATTTCTACTTATCGTAGTAATTCTTATCACAATCCACTGCGCTCGAAGTGGTGTGATTCACAACAAAGAACGGGTGACAGTCAAGCCACGCCTACCTAACAGTCGCTGCGATAACAGTGAACTTCTATGTGAAATTGTCGCTTAAGCATTCCATACCCTGTGTCTGTGTAATTCATTGTTATCTAACATTATTGTTCCGTTATAACTTTGAAGTGACTATAAACATTTGTGCTGCAGTATTCCGGTTAGGTTAGGTTTCTTTGTCAGGTTCACAAGTTGTCACAGATCATTTAAAATCATTAAAGATACCATCTGGGATATATATCAAGGGCAAAATCCATAAAATGAATATCAAACTAAGTAAACATTTCCTGTATTTTTTGAGCCAGATATATCAAAACAAGTTTTATTAAAAACTACAGAATACAATAAACCAAATTTAAACAAAATTATTTTGCCAAAAGATTTAAACGTTAGAACATAAAACGATAACTATCTGCAAAAAACAACGAGTCAAAAAAAAATACAGTTTGAAGATGTCTTAAAAATGATTACTAGAAGTACAAAGCACGAACAAGATATTGAAAAAACAGTTGCCTTAGTTCATTTGTTTTTTAAAAGTTTGCCTTTTTTGTGGTTGAAAAACAGTTTTTGTATAAGTGCTCTTAATAAATCGAATATTTACTTAATGCCTGTTATTTCTTTGTAGTGTAGCTGATTTTAAAGAAAAGAATAGTGTTTTTAAAACCAAAGATTAATTTATGCCAGATCAAGTAGCTGCTCTAAGACAAGGCGGCCCCCTTTCCCCTTCGTTTTAGAACATGCAGATAGGAAAGCACCGCCAGAATTAATAAGTGGCGTTGCATGGAGCAAGGTACTCCTAGCTTTTCCTAACGATGTCTACACAATTGTACAATCCACCAGAGATGTGAAAGAAGTTTTTACACTTTTTAATAGAGGGGCAATAGAAATTGGCGTTAGGATCATCGAAGATAAGACCAAATATATGGTAGTTATCAAAAATGTAAGACTAGAAATTGGACAAAACATTTCGAGGAATAAATACAATTTGGAAGTTATTAAACCATTTAAAAACTTGGGAGCAGTAATAACAGCCGAAAATAGTTATAAAAAAGACATAGCAGCTAGAATCATGGTAGGAAATAGAGTGTATTATTCCCTAGCGACGCTACTACAATTAAAATTGCTCTTAAAAACCAATCCTTTTAACGATTTTCGGGCCTGTATATACGAAATAACAGAAGAGTGGAGACAAAGACATAACAAGGAACTTCAAACACTGTATGGAGAAGAAAATAGCACGATATATTAAGGAGAGTCAGTAACGACTGATCTACGTACGATGGGGGTGCAACAATAGACGATTGCTGCACAAAACCGGCAAAAGTGACTTCATATATCCCCACATAAAATAGTCTGGTAGTGTTAAATCGCACGATCTTGGATCGCCAATTCACAGTAAGAAGAATCATGGTAAGAAACGCGAAACTATGCGATTACCAAACGTTTCTTTCAATAAATAAATTGTGTCACTAGCTGTGTGATAGTTTGCGCCGTCTTTTAAACCACAGCTCCTGCACATCATGGTTGTTTAATTGAGAAATAAAACAGTTCGTAATCATGGTTTTATAGCGGTCACCATTAACTAACGTCCTGGCCAGCATTGTTCCGCAACGTTCCAGCAACGTGTGTCAATATACACTTAAGGATTACCTTCGCTCTAAGTATGGTAGTTTTGTTTGTTGACATAGCCATTTAACCAAACGTGAGCTTCATTGCTAAACAAAAACAGCTTATGAAAATCAGGATCAACAGGAATTTTGTTTTGGACACATTTACAAAATCTACGCCTTGCTAGGTAATCGTGTAGCTTCAATTCTTGCTTAAGTTGGATTTTGGATAAACTGATTGGGATATTCGTCTATGCTACGTTCTATATCAGCAACCAGCGTCGGTTTAACTAGGGGTCTTTTCGGAGCTGTAGCACCGGGCGGTTAAAGGTTCCAGGGCGGTACGCGCGAAGCGTACCTTTAAACTTTAAAGATCCAGCACTTTGACAAGATTGTCATATTTATGCAGAAATGATTCTAAAAAAATGGGTCGATCAGAATCTTACAGATATGGACTTTTCAATGTGGAGGAATGCCGGTTTTCAACATCCCTTCCATAGAGAGTCTTGTATGCTAACAGTGTCCCTTTCAGCGGTTTTGTACTTGCTGTAAGTCCAATTAGTCCGCTAGCCTTCGACAGCTCAGTAAAGAAACTTAAATAGACTTTTAAAGGTGATTTAATCTGGCCTGTTGAATAGATATAAAGTGAAATAAAACAATT